CTTCTTAATCCATTACTGCTACTGCCCATTGTAGACCACGCATTATAAGACCCGGGGTAACCCCGGATCTACAATAGGGTTTTAAGCCTTAAGCCATAAGAAATGGGCGAATCACAATCGATTATTCCCCTCGGATTCGACTGTAATTGGTCAGTTTCTTACGGCTTAAGTCTTAAAACACCTATTGTAGATCCTTAAACCTATTGTAGGCCTTAAAAGCCATCACACGTAAAAAAATTTTAATTGTAATCGTAAGGCCGTAAGCAAATCAGCCAATCACAGTCGAGCGTTTTGAAACGCGAGATCGTAATTTTGATTGTGATTGGTTGATTTGTTTGCGACCTTATGATTACGACTAAAATTTTTGTCCGTGTGATGGCCGTTATGGCCACTGTCACCAAGCTCAGTTGATCTAACTATTGTAGGCCAGTTAGTCCATCGGAATTGACCAATCGCATTTGTCATTTTGTTTGAAGAATTGATAGATTGGTCAATTCCGATGGATTAATTGGCCCAGTTAAGTTAACTGAGCTTGGTGACAGTGGCCCTTAAAAGATTAAATCAGATTAAAAATTTCAAATATAATCTTTTATTCAATACTATTTTCCTGCTATTCATTTTGCATTAAAAAATTTTTTATACGGATTGGATTTTTATTTTAATCTTAATATTTTATACATTGTATTTTTTGTAAATTATATTATTAGATATTATATACACAAAGATTATATAAAAAATATGCGTACATTATACATGTATAGTAAATATTTCAAATAATATATAGTAGTTTAAATATTCAGAATAACAAAATTCTTGACATATTAATATTTATCTTATATTATTATTATTATTATTACATATACACGGTCATCAGTCAGTAAAAGTTCTGACTCAGTTCGAAATGAAATATATTTTCTTCAATGAAAAAACATGTACATATAATAAATAAAAATTTTATATTAAATAAAAGCATTAATTCATTTAAATATATCTTTCAAATAATTAGATGTTCAGATTAGATACGAGATTTTCACAAACAGAAAAGTATTATCAAATTTTTTTCAATGAAAAATTGATGAAACTATTTAACATTAATATTGACATTAATACTTATTCATTTCACATAATTTAGTTTGATGAATTATAAAGACTGTATAACTATGCTATATTATGAAAAATGTACTTATATAATTTTTTATATTCTAATCTAATTTATTACAAATTTCGTAAATATTCCAGAATATTTAGTTGTCTGCTGATACATTTTGGATATAATTTTGCTGCTTTGCTCCTAGCAATGTTTTAACTTCTTCTATAGGATTTCCACCCTCAGGTGCTTGTCTTGATACTCCAGTAACAGGTAATTCAGATACGATAGAATAATTTTTTATTTCAATCTCGGTTTGTTGTATAGATGACTTGTCGAATGACATAATAGCGGTCGATTCTGTATTATTATCCGATGTTAAATCATTTTCGCTAGATTCATAAATAATGGTCATATCAATATTACTATCAATATTTTCTGATATATCCGAAGGTGTCAAGCCAAAAAATTCTTTTTTCTTATCATATTCTAAAACAGTTATTCTATCTTTCAATTCCGTATCATTTTGAAATACACTGTTTTCTTTTAAAAGATCAATATCGCTGTTGTGCACTGCGAAATTTCTTATGTACCGATTATCTAGCTGTTCTACAACTTCTCCTTCCTGTGATGCAGTAGCTGCAATTTGCAAATCTGGTATCAAATGTTGATATAGAAGTGGATTGAATATGCTATCTGGGTTCATATGACGTACGTTGGAAGTTATCAAATAAGTCGTTAATTCATCACAAATTGCATCGTCGACGTCGTCATTTTCTTCTGCGACTAATTCCTCACGTATTACTGTCGATATTCTGTTACAAGGCATTTCCACGGAAATGTTTTCCTCAATGGTTGTTTTAGAAGTAATAAAATTTGCCGTGCTCGAGCTAGTATACTGTTCGTTATCAGTTTGAGTGAGCACTGTACAGGTATTAATGTCATAATTATTTTTGTCTTTGTCTTGTGAGTTATTTTTATGTTCCCGTAAACTCGTGAATAACTCTAGAATGTTTTTTCTTATTGGTATGACCGTTTCCGAAGATGACCTAGGGGGCAAATCTAAAGAAAGCTTGTCAAGCAAGTGATTTATATGTGTTTTGGTACCTTGCACGGGATATTCTGTATTGTCCGATAAATAATTGTACGTTGAGCTATATCTATTTTGATACTGATTGTGATAACAGCCAGGATGTTGGCTGAAATATGTATTGGAACTCGAACAATACCCGAGATCAGTCACTTCGGAACTTATAGCTCTACTTTTATTAGATGCTGATTCAAAACGTAGATTACAATTGCCGCTTATAAGGGAAGAAGTTTGCTTTTCGTCATTTACAACGTTTCGATCGCTTTGTATTTCACATTGTTTTGACATTTGGGATGTTCCATTATTAAAATATTCAGAAACTGTAGATTGTGGATAATGTATAATCTGATGAACGTTTCTATCATTAGTATTTTCATTGTCAATGTTTGGCTCAATTATATCAAAATCATTATCAAATTCATCTTCAAAAGCCATGTTTGTGACATCATGTAGACGTGACTGCAAACGTTTTGTGATTTCATCTAGTTCAGTTAATTTTTGTCTGTAACATATGTTAATTAAAATTAAATCTCTAAATGAAAAATAGCAAAATAATCATAAATCAATAAAATAATTATAGTATAAGCAAAACACCTATGTAAGAGCCGCTACAGTTGGTGCATAAGCAATATATTTATAAGGCGATAATTGGCAAACAATGGATATACAGTACCTCTAAAAAAACAGGGTTGTTTTGTTTAAAATATTTTTTTAAACATCAGATTAAATTAAACATGCTTTTTAAAAAACAGTTTAAAACAAATGTTTAAAATGTTATTTTTTAAACGTTTTTAGTAGAGGAGAAAGTGATTTGACTTTGGATTTGAATCTTTTTCAGTTACGAAAGTCAAGTGCAAACTGAGTTTGTGGGACTTCTGACAACCGCGGGAGTTCATATTGGCTTTGCTTGTGTTTGATTTATTCTTTAAGTCATACAAAACTATCTTTATTTTTATATTAATAACACTAGTTATAATAAAAAAATTACTTCAAACTGGACTAGGTGTTTCTTATAGATTTTTGAATGCTGAAAACGAAGCAAAAAAATTTCAGCACATCAGATTTCTAAGATAATTGAAGTTAACGTCCAAAAATGGTTTTTTTGATGGCTTTATTTGACTTACATTTTTTTGTAAAGGTTAACATTATTTTGAAGTTCCGATTAAAAGTTATAAGTTGTTAATTTCCTATAAAATGCATTTTTTTTATTTCAATATCTTTAGTAATGTTATACAGGATTTAAATACAGGGTTTTTCTTAGATAGCAAATTGAAAAATCCTTTTGTGATGAAGTCACGTAAAATTTCAAAGAATTTCTAATTTGTGATACACAGACCACACACAATTTTTATCTGAAACATTTTTTTTAAATACTTTTTTTTTATATTCGAGGTGGACAATTAAAACATGTATGTATATGCTCAAAAAAAGGTCGGAACTCCAAATTTGGATTTACTCGGGAGGATGACGTTTTTGAAAGAAATGTTTCAGATAAAAGTTGTAAGGTATAAAAAGATCTATTTACAGATCTTATCAGTTTGACCTTGGGGGGCGTCGCCAAGATCAAATCGATTTTTTTAAATGGAACATCCTATTTTTGATGTCAGAATTTAATAGTTGGTGTCAATTTATCAAGACACTGTACTTTTCAAAACACTGTAATAAAGTTATTTTTTATTAAAAAAATATGTGAGTAAAATGGATAATTTTTTAATGAATCCTTCATAACATGGCTAAAAAGTAAGATATTGAAATAAAAGAAATACATTTTATAGGAAATGAACAATACATTCATGACTTTTGATTAGAATTTCAAGGTAATGTTAAAAAAAAGTTAAATAACGGTTTTAAAAAAAAGTAAATAACGCAGAAAAAGTCATTTTTTACATATTAAACCTCAATTATTTCGTAAATCTAACATGCTAGTGAAATTTAACTTGCGGTATCGTTTTTAACATTTAAAAATCTAAAAAAGTAACCCTACATGGTCAATAATACTGATCAGTAATATTGAATCAATAATACTGACAGTATGTATAAATATTTTTAGTAATGTTACAACTTCGCACGATCAGTATTATTGACAATATATTTCACTTTAGTTTTACGTATGTTGTCTATTACATTGTGACATACTGTGACATGGATTCTAATAAAACGATACGGATGCTCAAGAATCAAAATCCAGATCCAGACCATCAGTATTCTACAATCCATCAATATTAACCATACATAACCAGTAATATTATCAAAATTGTTAATACTGATAGTATTATTGATCGACCACCTTAAGAAACACCTGGTCTAGTTTAGAGTAATATCAAAAAAATTTTTGTAAACTAATGTAATTATAATAATTCTGGCATCACTTACTTCAAAGACGATGATAAGAAAGATATAGAAACGTCTTCTAAATTATGACCAATATGCGTATTTAATTTACAATCATTTTGTACATATTTATTATTATTTTGGTTTTCATATGATATTTGATGTGCACCATTTAATTCTGTATTAGTACAAGGTGCATTACACAGAGATGGCCAGTTTGTTTGCAGTGAATTGCTGCACCTTGATAAATTAGTAGAGTTAGTTGGTGCAAATTTTCCTAATGATGACAAATTATCCAGAGGTGTTATACTTATCTAAAATAAAAGTAATTTTATGTACATATATGTATGTTGAGATAGGAAAAATATAAGATTTTTTTAAATTAATATCTCTAGATAAAAACTATCACGAGAATTTACTTTAATTTGTCCATTGCATTTTCCAGTAAAGTCCATGATATGAAACCATCCAGATACTGTAGGAAATCCAGCCATCAGAATCGAGAGATCAATAGCGGAAAAACCGATTACAATGTCTCTTCTTAAATTTATGTCTTTAGATGTATTTGGATCAATTAAATGCCACACTTTGAGAATTAATCTTTTCTGATTCTGGAAAATATCACAAAAATAAAATATAGATTAAGACTATATAATAAGTTGTATCGCATGGACTGAATCAAACTAGAACATATTTAAAATATGAATATGAAATTACATACGTTTAAAAGTAAATCTGTTGATAGCTTTACATCGCATTTCCAATTCCATTTCGGATTGCAACTATATGGATAAACATTTGTAACCATACATGAATTTAATTGATTAGTAGAATCGAGTTTATGAGTTAAATCTTGAAAGGTTACATATGTACTTGGTTCTATTAATTCATTCAGTCCTTCAATCTTTGGCAAATGTAGCGCACATTCGATTTCAATCACAGATCGAAAAAAAGAACTGTTACAACTAATATTTGATTCTATTTTTTGTGCATTTTCTTCCGTTAAAGATGAGTTGGAAAGATTATTAGCATTATTTTGCTGCTGATCTAAATCTTCATATTCAGCTCCAACACCGACACTTCTATACATTTCTATAGGTAATCGAAAATCATTTTTCGGATTGCAGCTATCGCTATCATCGGTAAGGCTATTACTATTTAATGTATTTAAGCATAATTCTGTATGTATCTTTTCTTCATTTACTTGATTTATGTCTGTTTGAGCCGATTGGTTTGTACTAATTTTATTAATATGTAGTACATTTGTCAAATGATCAACTAAGGCGCGTAAAGCCAAGTGTTCCGAAGATACAGCTTCTTGTATTGGTTTCTGTGGTCTTGTGTTTTTTAAACTTGAAATATCTGTCTGACTTTCTTGAGTCTTATAATCAACAGATGCCAAATCTCTATCGAGCATACTATAAACGTGAGCAAAATTATTGCTGCAAGTGGATTTCTCTGAATTGAGATTCGATACTTCATGAATATTATACTGTAAACTCTCTTGGCCACCCATTGCATTGTTAGTATTGTTAGGAATATAACAGTGATAACTATAATTTGTTCGCGATATATTATTGGTATTTCTTAAACCTCTTGTTACTTCTAGTAATGCAATTTGTTCCGCAGTACCAAGCGCGACGAGCGCAAGAAGCTTTCCACAAAATTTTCCGTTTACTGGATCGTTAATATTAACCCAACCATCTACACTTATTACAGGATACTGTGTGAAAAAATAAAAATTATACAATTAAAAATTTGATTAAAATACATTTAATTATAAGATAATCAATCATTACCTTCGATAATAATAAATGAGGTAAAACAAGTGGATCTCTATAAGCAATGTATAATTGATGCACAGGTAGCTTTGCTATTCCTAAGAGATTATCTATACCACTATTTTGCCGATTATATACCTCTATGATTATATAATTGTCTCTGATTCTCTGCAGTAACTCTGTACCGTGAATTAAAGGTACTAACTGAAATAAATATTTCTAAAGTAAAACTTGCTTTTGTGATAATTAAAATTATTTTGTTAAAAGAAAAAGTTTTTACTTGAAAAAAATGATAAAACGGATTTTTTGTATTATTGCAAATTTGACTTGATGCTTTATCCTCTCGCCAAAACGCTCTACATATTAGATAGGTATTAGATTCTGGCAAATCTTTACCCTCAGCTACATATATCAAGCCATGAAGTAAAATCTAAAATCATATAAACAATATAACACAATACATACTTATTTGTAATACTATTATATCTTGACTACAGATGAGTGCTGCAATACGATTTGGCTAGTCATGGCAAAATATCACCAAGCCTTAAATAAAATAGCAAATAACATGGGGAGGATATAATTATTTTATTTTCTATTGTTTCTCATTGTTTATTGCTTTACAAATTCTATTATTTTGCTTCATAAGCATTTGCTTATAATAATATTCAGTAATTGCTTATAATATTTAGTAATTTTTAATATAAATAAACAAGTAATGCAGTGTTGCAGCATTCATTCAATAAACTTTAATTTAAAACTACCTTATCTTTAATACCACTTTCTGGATTATTCGTATCAATTTTTTTATTATCTAAGCTTTGTTCTCGGTGTTCTGTCATATCTTCTGTAATAACTATATCCTTATTGTTACTACTAGTCAAACACTTAATTTGTTTGGAGACAGAAGAAACTTTGCAATTAGATTTAGAGGAATGAGTCCCTGTTGCACTTTTATATTTATTACCATTTGGGCTTGTCAAGGCTTTCTTGTTCAAAATAGGAAGATTTTCTTTTTTAGATATTACAGCATCTGGTGAAATAATTCAATTACTGAATATTTGACAAAATATTCAGAGTATACCTAATAAAATTATTTTTCAATACTATACTCACCAACAAATTCTTTTCCAAAATGAATAAAATCGCAACCTAATTCTATTGTAACTTTCAAATCACCTATTTTAATGCCTTTATTTACAATAACTATACATTGGGTACTACTTAAGTTTGTAGTACTTGTAATGTCACTGATATTTATGAAACCAAATCCTAATCCAGTTGGAAGTTTTTGGTTATGATGTTTGACAAAAACTTTAAATCTCAAAGGAAAATTTTTATTTATATTATGCCTTGATATACTATAAATACCCTCAGAGTTAAAGTTAACAACTGCAAAAATTATATTTATCTTCTATCAAATATTTATTACATTTTGATTAAAAATATAATATATATAGGCATATAATATTTGCATTTTAATAAGTTTTCAACAAAAATATAACTTTTTACCTTGACCCACTTGTTTTTTAGCATATGTTCTTGTAAACTTAGTTTCTTTACTAGAGTTATTTGCCTGCTTTGTAGATCCAAATGTTGTATCATATTGAATAAAATATGTCAGTGATAATGGTACACCATCTGTTTGAGAAAAAAAAATTATTTAGCAAAATTAAATATATCTGGCACATTTGTATATCTGTATATATACTTATAAAAATACGTTAACATATTTGGGAGGATCCTGTTTGCTTACAAACCGATTGTCTATAACATCGTTTGACTACATTACTTTTGCTGACAGTTCGTTTGCGCACAAAAATTATTGCCTACATGTACTATTCTTTGTTTTAAAAATACAAATTGTTTTAAAACACAAATTTTTTGCTTAAAAAACACGAATTCTCTATTTTAAAACAAATTCTCTGTTTTAAAACACAAATTATCTGTTTTAAAAATATAAATTATTTTCTTATTTAACTTAATTTTAATTTTATATTTGTGCGCAAAAGTACTTGTAGGCAAACGATGTTGTAGCAAACGATGTTGTAGGCCGTAAGTAATTTATTTGTAGGCAAAAGGAACCATCTCAACATATTTTTATAGATCTTCGCAAAATATAAAATAACAAAAAATTACATACATTGCAAACATGTGGATTTTGCACGTCTATATCCCGCGGATGTCAATGTAAAAGATTCAATAAAAACTTTCATACTATTAACATAATCTAGAGGATATGTTCCTGAAATAATACAAATAATTCATATGTAATATTATATCAATAAAAATTTTTACATTAGCTGTAGTACATTTAATGGTATAAATTTTTTAGTATTTGATTGATCAAACAGGACATAGAAATCTAAAGGAGAGGACACAGTTGAATAATCACCAATTTTGATCTTCTTGCATATGATGAATCTACAGCAGAAATAAGTTGATTCGTGTCCAAATGTTTTGTCCAATGCCTTGTAAATAATATTTTTTAATACATCAAATACGATAAAGAAAGGCCGAATCGGTCAAAGTTAGATGTTTCGAATAATACATTATATATTCTTTTATTAAATTAATTTATTCTAGATATAATATTTTTTAATGCTTGAAAGGGTTCTGCATTAATTAAAATTGGAACCTGGTAAAATGAGTTACATCCACAGATATCTATACTAGCACTAGATCGCTAACTTCTGAGTTGATTTAATGGCGGTGACAGTATATGTATAGGTGTGTATGTGTTGTATATGTACGTACAAAATGATTGGAGTGGCCATTGAATAAACTCAATCGGATATCCAGCCATTTACAGCGTTTTAATCGAAGTTAGCGATTTAGTACTAGCATAGACATTTGTAATTGCATCTTATAATATAATTTATAATAGTAAAATAACAAGATGTTATAGACACAATGCTCAATAATAGAACATTTTTAAGCTGTGTGGTGTATCAAATGTGCTCTGAGTTTTATACCTTTGACGCACCACAGCTAAAAATTATCCATTATTGTGTCTTGTGTCGTTTGTTTATCACATTATAAGTTACATTATATGTTACAACTAACTCACTTCATTGGCATTCAATTTTCCATATAACTAGTGCAGCCTTTCAAGCATTGAAAAAAATTATTTCCAAGGTGCATTGGATGAAGCGCTTAAACACAGATCAATTTATTTTTTATATAGATTTATCATGTGCAAAAAGATCAAAATCATACGATGGTCATCTCCTTGCAAGATCCATAAAGCATTTGTAGCACCAAATAAACCGCAATTACTATATCTATTACTTTACAAACCTTTACCTTTCAACTCAGTACAAGTCATATTTTTATTCAATACATCTTCTTCGGGATTGTCTAATTTTATAGAGAAACTTTGATTCCATCCATTATTTTTATTATCTTTATCAGTTGTAATTATTTTAGGCATCAGGTCTATTAAACATGGCGGTGTTGGTCTTAACATATTCAAGACTTTCTTTTCTTCTGAAAAAGACATTTCCATCCCTAAAGTATACTTGTTAAGTTTTTCTTTATTTTCTGATGAAGTATTAAAATGTAATTCATTGCTTGATGAACTATCATTCAAAGTTGAAGAATCTTCTTTGTAAGTTTCTTTCAATATCGCTTCCCTAAGATACTGTGCTCTAGCAACAATCTGAGCAACTAACTTGTCTGTTACCATTTCATTGGATTTTTTTCTACGTTCTTGGAATTCTAATTGCTTGTTCTTGAAAACAGATCTATACATATTATATGTATCAATCTTTTCAAATTTTTTAAATTTCTTCTCTTTAGTATTCTCTGCATCGTTGTAAGATTTCATTGGCATTTTTCCATTATATTGTAAATTGTCGATAGGAAATAATAAAATATCTCTATCTTTTTCTCTATTGTATTTACATGTTTCCATTTGTATATTAGAATAGTGGAATGGTTTTGTCAAATATGTTAATTGTAAAGAAACATGTAGTTTTCCTATTTTATGGCCATTATTACTCAATATCGGAATAAATTGAAAATAATATTTATATGAAAATATCTTAGATAATTCTCCTATATATCCTCTACCAATAATCTCATGAATATTCTCTGCAACTATCACTACTTCTATTGCATTACAATTTTTAATATAATCCGCAAAAAGTGTTGCGTTAGTTTTTATAGCATATACTTCAGTTACATCCTCATTTGTTCTTTCTATTTCTGTAGTACTATCTCTTGGTCTAAGAGGAAAACAAAAAATTGTTATATGGTCACAAAAAAGTAATTAGACACTTTCAGATTTAATCAATATAAACTTAGGTGTTTTTTTTGATATACATAGATATTATTTACTCTTAATTTATCCTAAGTAAATAAATTGCTTTAAGAATAGTAAGAGTTTAATTTTAAAATTATACATCACCTGAATTGTGCGTTATCATGTTCGCCCCACCAGGAAGCCACTACTGTAACATCACCGGGATTTGTTCTGATCCAGAGGACCTCACTGATAACGAGCTTTAGACTGCCATGAATTTTGCCTTTTACTAATGGTGGTAAAGATCTATTAGATTTCACTTGTGAATCCATTTGTTTCCTCCAAGGTGACGCATAATTGACCTTTTACCTATCAGTAATATCAGTGAGCTTAGGTTAAAAATATGCTTAATAACTACGATAATCATGCAAATGCAACAATGCAATTCAATAGGACAGCCAAAATTATTAACGAATGCAGAAATTGCTAAGAAGTATAAGAATGACAAGTTTAATACCCTGATGAAAATTTTTCTCATAATTTCTATACGTATTGGAACATTTTTCAGAAATACTCAGAAATATTCGAAAAGTTTACATCTTCTCTCAGAATTTTTCATACAAGTGAACTCCGAAATATTCTGAAATTTCTCATCCCATAATTTTTTAAATTTTATAACATTTCATCGGAAATTATACTTACAAAAACTTTTAGAAATTTTACGATATTTCATAAGTAACATACATGAAAAATTTTGAGAAAAGATGTAGATTTTCTGAGAAGTGTGCCAATTCGTATAAAAACCATGAGAAAGTTATAAAATTACATAGAAATTTTTTGAAAAATTATATGAAAAATTCTGAGAAAAATTTTCATTAGGGTAGATTTGTTTTCTATTACTAAAATGTTTGCAATAGTTACAAAGCAAGAAATGTACATATGTACATACCTACTGAAATTGAAACGTCTTCTTCCTCTTCTTCCTCCTGTTCCCTCTAGGATATATAAACTCGCCTGGGAAAGTCACAATTCACTGAGCCTTGAATTTTAGGAGATCCAAAGAGCTTATCTATAAGTTGTGAGTATCCTCTGCAGAGAGAACAGAGTTGTTGTTTATTGGCTCCCGCCTCCAAAAGTAAACAACGGAGGTCAATACAGAGGGAGAACAGAAGTCTCACGTCTCACTTCTTTCTCATAACTCTTCTTCCTGTTTCTGTGTCCAAAGAATTCAAAAGAATTTCAGCCATAGCCACAGACTTCTATATATCACACTATACTGTTAACTATTGTCCCTTTAACGGCTATCAAAAATTTGCTAAAGATATACGCATGAAATAAAGAAGAGATTAAACTCGAGCTCTCGAAGATGGAACATGGGCTCGAAACATGGCTTCGGAAAACACATGGGAAAATCGGGACGATGCGATTTTAGTGCCGTTGCGGGAAAGGTTGGAAGTATATTACATGATAACGCATACGGAATACGCATGTATGCACGTTTAGCTGGTTCTACATTGATCGCATCGCAGCGTCGCAAGCGTGTTGCAAGCGTTGCAGTCCAATCAGAGTCGAGCTAGCTTGACATTGATGGACCGCAACACTTGCGATGCTGCGATGCGACGAAAGCTGGTTCTACATTAGTCGCATCGCAACGTCGCAAGCGTTGCAGTCCAATCAACGTCAAGCTAGCTCGACTCTGATTGGACCATAACACTTGCGACGCTGCGATGCGATCAATGTAGAATCAGCTTAATGTAGACCAGCTTTTTGTTTTAAAGCCGGGAGCACATAGAAAAACGTAAGGCCGTAACCCCGGATCTACAATAGGTGTTTTAAGCCTTAAGCCATAAGAAATGGACGAATCACAGTCGATTATTCTTCTCGAATTCGACTGTAATTGGTCAATTTTTTACGACTTAAAGCCCATGGCACATACAAAAACGTAAAGCTGGTTCTACATTAGTCGCATCGTAGTGTTGCAAGCGTATCGCAAGCGTTGTGGTCCAATCAGAGTCGAGCTAGATTGATGTTGACTGGACCGCATCGCAGAGTCGCAAGCGTTGCGGTCCAATCAATGACAAGTTAGCTCGACTCTGATTGGATCACAACGCTTGCGACATTGCGATGCGACTAATGTAGAACTAGAGCACTATAATAATTTTGCTTCGTATTATCGGAATCCTGTTTTCTGATTGGATGCAGAGCGGCGGACGACGAAAATCGGATCCCGTGTGAATCCAGCGTTATAGTGCCTTAGTAGAACCAGCTTCGCAGTTGATTATTCTTCTCATATTCGACTGTGATTGGTCAATTTTCTACGACTTAAGACCCTACGACTGCTACGACTTCTATTGTAGACCCCGCATTACTGATATAAATGACATTGTATCGAATGATACTTGAAAGATCAACGATTAGCTTATAGAAACCGATACAAATTGATAGAAATTATATCATTCTTAATCGTTCTCTATCGACTTTTTTTGATCAGGGAATGAATAATTAATTATATATCCTCTTATCAAATTGTATACTAGAAATGTTTTAATGTAATAAAATAATTTTTTATTGTGTACTTTCAAAAATGAAAATATAGAAGTTATTTAATTATATTTTCTAAAATCTATAAATGTAAAAAAAATGGCAATGATTTAGTCAAGATATATATTAAATAATAAAATAATAATATAAGTATGAATCTATATCATAGACACTATATAATTTTTTAAGCATTTCCAACTTTATAATTATATCAATGTATTATAAACATTTTTTCTGCAAATACATATCTTAAAGTAAAATATCTTTCAATCATGCGCATTATATAGATATATATTTATATGAATATTAAAATATATTTTTGTTAGAGTTTAATATATTTAATTGCTTCTGTATTCCATATTAGAATTATACAACGCTTTGATAGCCATGCATGCTCTATTATAATTTTCAATAGGTTCGGTATAGCAATACTTCTCAGTTGTGGGAATAACCTTTTTTTCAAAATTCGTCATATGCAATTGATTAACTTGTATATTTTCGTAATGTGTCTCAGTCTCATATTGTATACCTTTATCAACGATAAAGGTAGTTTTTATACGATCTAATGCTTCTCCTAAAACATAAATAAAAATGACACTTGCATGAAAAGTGAATAATACATTATGAAATGGATTAAGTATAATATTTACGTTCATTTTCATGAAGTATCAAATCTTCAAAAAAAGTAATGTTTTGTATAAATAAATGAAATGAATCTTCAATATCAGATGATCGGATAACAAAATCAGGATCACAAATCGCAAGATGGCATAAAAATCTAATGCCTTGTCTCAATACTTTGTATTGAACCTTTTTGATATCAAACCAAAAATTACGATCCAACTTTTCTGAATAAATTTCTGTCAGATGTTTTTTTATATTCTGTTCATTATATTTCATCTGACATGCATGATGTTTGTAATTAATTCTCTTCAAGATATAAAATATTTTCTTTTTTTTAAATGAATCTTGCCGTTCAGTATCATCGATTACGTCTAATTTGTTTTCAGAACATTTTTTTAACATATTAATTATAAATCGTAATAATTTCGTATAACAATTACAGGATTCTGAACTTTCACTTCTTAATAAATTATTTTTCTGTAAGACATGCCATATAGATGATATTAATGCATGCGTCATATTTATTGTAGTAAGAAAGTCCGAATAAAAATGCTCCATTTGTGCCATAAGAATTTGTAAGACACAAGCATCTAAAACACAAAAACATTTATCACTAGGAATGTTCTTTAAAAAATAAAATATACATTATTAGATAAAAATGCACAAATTTTCAGATTATTTCGAAATGATATAACATACCTGGTGTAAAATGTAAAACACCTTTCCATCTTTTTATTGTCATTAATTCTATTAAAATAATGATAATTAATGTTCAAAAAAGATAAACTTTTTTGTTAAACATATGTATATTGTCCAACATACTTACGCGAACTTGTACAAAGTTTTGACACGAATATATCGCATTTACTAAAAACCATTATAAAGTTGGCTAATGAAATATAACAAAGTGATAATGGCCTTGAGAATACGAGTTCTTTAAATATAAGACAAATATATTTTAATCTGGAAAAAATTTGCACTTACATAAAATCTAATATCAAAATAACACTGTTCGACAAAAATAAAATCGCCAAAACGAGACTAGTCATTTTCTGTAGTTTTTTGGACGTTGAATACGCATCTAGTTTCCAAATTGTTCCATCACATCAAAATTTTGAAAAATTTACATTTAAAAAGAAAAATTTACATTAAAAGCAAAAGGGGCTATTTTTATTATTATTATAGCTATAATATGAGAGACACAATATATACAACATGCTGGAGAAGTTTATTGCAATCAAAGTTAAGCATATCGTTAGGATCCTCAAACCTTAAAAGGACTTTTTAGTTAATTCGGCCATAGTTAATAAAATATTCATAATTAAATATGGAGTCTAGTACAGAAAATAGAATTGTGTTATTGACAATTTACCAAATAGCTTTCAATTATGTTTAGTTAAAAAATTTTTGGTAATTATTCGGATTAACGGACACCGCGCCGATGACCTTGATATATGTTGTCAAGGTCATGTCCTGAGTGATCTTCAAAAAGTTTTAAGCGATGATCACTGTTCGTTCAAAAGTTATTAACTAATAAAGTTTAAAAAATATCTTATTTTTATCATATACAATATTAAAAATTATCCTCTATACCCTTCCTGTTTAGGGGCATTCGACTTTCCACGCGAAGGAAGGTCCATTCTACCTCTCTCCCTGCCTAGGAGCACACGATTTTCCATGCGAAACGAAATCCACCCCACCTTTTCCCTTGCTTAGTAGCGTTCGACTTTCCTCGCAAACTAGATGCAAAAATGATTTTTCAATTTTTTTATTCCAGCAAGGTAGAATCCTTAATTTACAGCTTTTCCCAAATGGAATTGATCCCATATTTAACTATTAATCTTATTAACCACATCCAACACTGAAAAATCCTTTTGAAGGTCCTAATAGTAAATTTAATTTTGATTACAATAAAATTTCTTCAGTACGTCATACATCATAATTATAATCTGATAAAGTATGTAAAAATAACCTTTTTTTTTTAAACTGAATTGCAAATTTTTCAAAATTATGACATGGAGCAATTTGAGAAACACATGTGTATTCAGCATATAAAAAACTAGCATATAAAGAATAATCTTATTCTGATGTTCGGGGAAAAAAAAAACTTTTTGTCGAACACTTTAATCAGAATAATACTATTAATATACCCTTTATCACAATAACCCACTTTCTGTTGCACATTACACAGTAGTTTTACAATTGCATTTATAAGACCTGTAAATTGATGAGATCTCCTCTGCAAATAATATTTATCACTGTTAAAAATTATTTGATAAAAATTAATATCTAAACGATAAAATAGAACGTACTTACAACGTGTTCTATTAAAGTGACACATTCTAGGATAATCTCAAGCATTTCAAATTCATGGCCCTTCTTTGGCCATGTATTATAACGTGTCATTTGTTGCAGATAATGATTGTAACATTCATCACTGCGTGTGAACAATTGTGATTTTCCTGCTAAATAATTACTTAAGTATAACGATTCAATACTAATGTGCGAAAGTATACCGAGCAATCTTCTAGCCTCGATACCACGTTCTCCTTCATGCCACGCATTTGCTTCGCATTCAGATTTAATACATGTATTATGATCTTTATAAACTGTAGAAAAATATAAGTCGTTCATATCCCGAATATCATCATTCTTCATAGCTTGAAAAATTGTTTCCAAAACTGTTATAATATTCAATATTAACTCTCTTGTAGTTAAAACTAGCTAAAACACAAAGAATATATACATATATAGGGTGTTTCATAAAAAAAAACCTTTTAGAGCCAACACAAATTATTAGCGCGTATAAAAATTCATGTTTACTTAATGAGACAAATAATAAGATAAATAAATGATCCAATTCTTTTTTGGGCTTTTCTTAATATATGTATAATAATCTTACTCAAATTATTAACTTAGCAAGTAAGATAAACGTCCCAGTGATCGGACATGTATCTATATCCGAACACTTACACAAAATTTATTATTATTATCTCAAATGCTTTTTTTTATTACTGTATTATAATTTAATTGTATTTAAAAATTACAATTAAATTATAATATTACATTTTAAAAAGCGTATTTGAGACTAATATTAACTTAAATAAATAAAGTTTTGTGTAAATGTCCGGATATAGGTACATGTCCAGTTACTGGGACCGGACAGTACCTATGTCCGGACAGTTACACAAAACTTTATTTATTTAAGTCTCAAATGCTTTTTACCTTTTAAAGATCAATTTGAAGGAGTTGTCTTTTGTCATTAAATATCTCTTTATATTAATATTTCCCATCAGCATATTAATTTTCTAATTGTGGTCAAACACT